ATTATTTAAATCCCAAGTGGATCACAGATCTTTTGTATAAAGAAATGCAGGCCCAGCACCAGGTTGTATCTTTTATCGATTGACTAGGTCAGGGGTAGGCAACCTTGGCTCTTTTATGACTCGTGGACTTCAACTCCCAGAATTCCTGAGCCAGCCATGCTGAGGGGAAAGGGAGAGGTTTCCAAGCTGAGCCAGGCTGGCTCAGGAATTCTGGGAGTTGAAGTCCACGAGTCATGAAGGGACCATAGTTCCCCCATGCTGGCTCAGGAATTCTGGGAGTTGAAGTCCACGGGTCATAAAAGAGCCAAGGTTGCGTACCTCTGGCCTAGGCCTAGTCCACTTTATGACTGGTGGACTTCAACTCCCAGAATTCCCGAGCCAGCATGGCTCAGCTTGGAAACCTCTCCCTTTCCCCTCAGCGTGGCTGGCTGAGGAATTCTGGGAGTTGAAGTCCACGAGTCTTAAAGCTGCCAAGGTTGAGGACCCCGACATAGGGCAGGGATGGGGAACCTTGGCTCTTTTATGACTAGTGGACTTCAACTCCCAGAATTCCTGGGCCAGCATGGCTCAGCTTGGAAACCTCTCCCATTCCCCTCAGCATGGCTGGCCCAGGAATTCTGGGAGTTGAAGTCCACGAGTCATAAAAGAGCCAAAGTTGCCTACCCCTGGACTAGGTAATTTAAGAAAAGAGTGACATTTGTTGAATGATTATCTCTAAACCCAGCAGATTTTTTTTTATCGTAGAGCTGCTCTTCAAGAAAACCAATTTGATTGTTTAACAGCAATCAGGGCTATGAACTGGTTAAACCTATAAAGCAGCAGTGATTTTTTTAAATTAACATAGGTATTCCTCGACCTACGATCACAAACTGAGCCCAAAATTTATGTTGCTAAGCAAGACATTTATTAAGTGAGTTTTCCAACCTTTCTTGCCACAGTTGTTAAGGTGAATCACTGCAGTTGTTAAGTTAGTAACACGGTTGTGAATCTGGCATCCCCCAGTGACTTTGTCTATCAGAAAGGAGATCACATGACCCTGTGACTCTGCGACCGTCATAAATAGGAGTCAGTTGCTAAGCATCTGAATTTTGATCACGTGACGTTGGGGAATGCTGCAATGGTCTTTAAGTGTGAAAAATGGTCATAAGTCCGTTTTTTCAGCGCTGTTATAACGTCAGACAGTCAGTAAACGGAACAGTTGCAAGGACTACCCTCGTATTAAATAGCTGGGTTTGATTTGACAAATGTCTTAATAAATTAAAATGTTCTTTATCTGGAAAGATAAAAAGATCAGGAGCATGAGGATTTTTCATAGGAAACTCTCCTAATAATTTAATTACATGGAGCCTGTCTTTGATTTTAAGTTTTCAATGGCGGAAGGTGCTATCGTGACAGCTTTGCACGCTGAAAGAATTCTTACAATCAGATTTTCATCCAATTTTCTAGAGATTGCAGTCCCTCATCCTGTGTCTCGTAATTCTGAGTTTACCGAACATCTGAGAATTGGTTTTTCGAGTGCCTTGGGGCACAGTATTAATGAGTAAGGAAGGTGAAGATTTGGTGTTAAAATTTGCACATGTTGAAAGGCTTCCTACTCGTGCGAAGCCACCCTCGGCTACAACAATTTTTTTCCTGTGTCCCTGATTTTGCTTAACATTTTCCCTAACTTTTGACAGCTTGTCAACATAGCAAAGAATGTGTTTACCTTAAGTATTTGAGGAAAACCAGACAGTTGCTCTATTAGAAAACTACTTGATGCATGGATATTTGGTTTAGCTACATAAAAATATCTACGTATTTTTATATTCTCCAAAGCGCTTGAAGGCAGGACAAGAAGCAATGGATGGAAACTAATCAAGGAGAGAAGCAACATAGAACTAAGGAGAAACTTCCTGACAGTTAGAACAATTAACCAGTGGAACAGCCTGCCTCCAGAAGAGGTGAATGCTCCAACATTGGAAGTTTTTAAGAAGAGACTGGACAGCCATTTGTCCAAAATGGTATAGGGTTTCCTGCCTGAGCAGGGGATTGGACTAGATGACCTCCGAGGTCCCTTCCAACTCTGTGATTCTGTAAGGATCTCCTGCTTGAGCTGGGGGGTTGGACTGGATGACCTCCAAGGTCCCTTCCAACTCTGTGATTCTGTAAGGGTTTCCTGCCTGAGCAGGGGGTTGGACTAGAGGACCTCCAAGGTCCCTTTGTGTTATTCTGTTCTAATTGGATGTGTCATTAGAATGAGGGGGACTGCCCCAAAGAAGAGGGAGTCAAGCTATTCTCCAAAGTGCTTGAAGGCAGGACAAGAAGCAACGGATGGAAACAAACAAGGAGAAAACCAATCTAGAACTAAGGAGAAACTTCCTGACAGTGAGAACAATTAACCAGTGGAACAACCTGCCTCCAGAAGCGGTGAATGCTCCAACATTGGACAGTGTTTAAGAAGAGACTGGACAGCCATTTGTCCGAAATGGTATAGGGTTTCCTGCCTGAGCAGGGGGTTGGACTAGATGACCTCCAAGGTCCCTTCCAACTTTATTATTATCGATCATCGCACAGTCAGCCAGATGTTCAGACTGGATTTGGCATTTTGTCTACCTATCGAGTCCTTACCCAGGACCTGGGATAGGCAGATGTGGATGTTTGATGGTATTACAGATATCGTCGCAGGATGGAAGCAGTTCCTAATAAGGCTGCCTTTTGCAATTGACTAATAGCGAATTTGTCAATGCCAATGGTGTTCAAGTGGTGCTCCAGTTGTTTTGGGATTGCACCCAAGGAGCCTATGACTATTGGTACTACCCTTGCTTGCTTTTGCCCAGTCTTTCTATTTCTATTTGTAGGTCTTTGTATTTTGTTATCTTCTCCAGTTCTTTCTCTTCTATTCTGCTATCTCCAGGCACTGCCACGTCCACTATCCAGACTTTTTTGTCTTTCTTATCGACAATTGTTAAGTCTGGGGTGTTATGTTGCAGGTGCTTGTCTTTTTGAATTCTGAAGTCCCAGAGCAGTTTAATTTTATCATTTTCTATGACTTTCTCTATTTTATGATCCCACCAGTTTTTGCTTACAGGATTATTATTATTATTATTATTATTATTATTATTATTAGCAGCAGCAGCAGCAGTAGTAGTAGTAGTAGTAGTAGATATACAAATATCTACAGACTCCTCACACCCTGTTTCAACTTCTGGCCTCAGGCCGCTGCTACAGGGCATTGCATGCTAAAACCACGAGACACAGGGACGTTTTTTTCTCTCGTGACATCACACTACTAAACACCTAGTTCCCACAGCACTCGTGTTGTGTTACTATTATCCTTCCTATATTTCCTATTACCAATTCCTATTGGTATCTTACGACTATCACTTTGCTGGTTGTGTCTTATGATTTTTGATTGTATCATATGTTTTATGACCCCGGGACAGTGGCACCGTCATAAATATGAGTCAATTGCCAAGCATCCGAATGTTGACCACGTGACCAGGGGGATGCTGCAACGGTCCTAAGTGTGAAAAAGGATCATAAGTCACTTTTTTTCCAGTGCTGTTTAACTTCGAACAGTCGCTAAATGAACCGTTGTAAGTCGAGAATGACCTGTATTGTACAAAGAAAGGGGAACATAGCTAAAAAATAGTTATTCCAATACAATTTACTATGCCTTTTCTTTAACAGTTGCCTTACAGAAGTACGAAATGTTATAAATAAATACATTCTGGCTTCTATGATGACTAAACATGTCTTTGTGCATTGCCTAATCTCATTGCCATGATTCTGTGCCGTGACATTTATTGAGCTCTGAATGCGACTTGCTATTTAGCAGTCAGAAATGGTCTTATCGCAGTGATGGCGAACCTTTTAGAGACCGAGTACCCAAAAACTGGCCCCGCCCTCGCTCCACTCCCTGCCCCGTCCCCGCTCCGGTCCCACCCCGCCTGCCCGCAGGGCCACTCACCGTCTCCAGGGCCCGCCGCAGATCGCCCAGCAGCGCCATGGCAGCCACGCCCTCTGCCCGCGCCCCACAGCATCAACTGTGCAGGATGGGGCGTGAGGGCAGAGTCTTGTCTATGCTGCCTGGCTGCCGTGTCCTTGGCTGCACTGCTCCACATGGGCCACGCTCGGGGGCAACTCTCCTCGGGGGGGCTGCTGGTGAGGAGGGGGTCGTGGGGAGAGGCGAGGCTGGGGCAACGGGCACGTGTGCCCACAGAGAGGGCTCCGAGTGCCGCCTCTGGCACCCGTGCCATAGGTTCGCCACCACTGGTATATAGAGTCTCCTGCGTGAGCAGGAGGTTGGACTAGATGACCTACAAGGGCCCTTCCAATTGTGTTATTCTATTTCAGTCAGTTTATTTGTTCATGGTGATAGCTCAGTGAAATAAATTTAACCTGTAGTGGATTTCTATTGAAAGACTGACCTATCTTTTTTTTTCCAAAGGGGAAAGATTTAAAAATAATGCATGCATTCAATTTGGTGCTGGATATTTTAGTATCAATATTTTTTTTTCTTACCCCTTCTAGGATAAGACAACACATGCCGGTGTACTTGAAAATGTGACATTCTAGCACAGTGGTTCTCAACCTGTGGGTCGGGACCCCATTTGGGCTCGAACGACCATTTCACGGGGTCACCAAACAACGCAGTCCGCCATTTTCCCCCCCTTTTCCTTAGCTGTGCTCCTCCCTTTTATTCTATTGGCTTTTGAAAGCCAATAGAATAGACTCTCTTGAATAGAGAGTTTATTCTATTGGCTTTCCAAAGCCAATAGGAATTGTCCAGGCTGTCTCTGCCCTGCTGAGCCCGCCAAAAATCCCATTCTGCAAACGGTGCTGCACCAGTTGAGTAGTCCTCGACTTACGACCGGTTGAGTAGTCCTCGACTTACGACCGGTTGGGAGTCGCGGCATTAAAAAGGTTGAGAACCACTGTTCTAGCATATCTAGAAAGCTGAATTTGTTTCACTATATTTCAGAATTGGGGTAATTGCCACTATTCTATTCTTTTTATAGATTACCTTTCGCAAGGGATAGATCTTTCTGGAATCGAAGTAATTGAAAATGAATTGCTTTTTATTGCGAGAGCTCGACTCGAAGTAGAGAACCAGGCCAAACGGTTGCTTGAGCAAGGAATAGAGACTCAGGTAAAATGTCTTTTTTATTTCCTTCCTGATTGTTATATATTTTATTAGTTTTTGTAGGGTTAGGGTTAGTGTTGGTTTTTTTTTAAATAACATTCTTAATATATAGCAAACAGCATGTTGCTGGGGTTCATGTATTTAAAAAATAATAAGTAAGAGTTAATTTCTATATTATCATAATCAATATATTGAATTAATCACTCAATAGTCTTTTTCTTATTAGTATATTATGTTAAATAATATATATCATGTTCCTTTCTTTCTAAGTCGCTTTTCTAGCCATTGGTAAAAATTATCCCATGTTCTAAAGTACACTGAGTCTTCTTTCTCTTTTATCTTTAATGTCAATCTGTCCATTTCTGCACAGTCTAATATTTTCTTAATTAGTTCTTCTTCCGTTGTTAAGTTTTTATTTTTCCAATATTGGGCAAATACAATTCTCGTCGCAGTTAATACACGTAAAATTAAGTATATACAATCTTTCTCATAATTTCCTCCTATTCTGCCTAATAAAAACAGTTCTGGCTTGAAATATGTTTTTTAGTCATTTTTTCCAACCATATGTGTATTTTTGACCAAAATCATTTAGCTTCAGGGCATGTCCACCAGATATGGTATAATAAGTACCTGATTTTTTTTTCATTTCCAACACTTATTTGATGTATTTTTGAACATTTTCGCACCCACCTGATCAGTCTAAATTTGCGACCCTTTTTACGGCAGTTGTAAAATGTATGCCTGGGTCATAATGTGAGTGTGTTCCTTCCGATGGGTGTTTTTTGCTGGAAACTTGCTGAAAAGGCAATAAATCCTCCCAAAACATGACAAATTGGGATCACGTGACTGCAGAACCGCTGCAACTCTATGTGAAATGTAAAAACAAAACAAAACTCCCCTTTTAAATTAGGGTATTTGCGTGCTTTGATCCGTTGCAGATCAAATGCAGGTGGATGTTTTTACTTAATTTCCTTTATTTCTTTAATTCAAGGGTGATTCCAATAATTTGTGACCATGAAACAAATTTATATGCGGTGCGACTGTAAAAGCCGCACTTTTGAGAAGTAAACAGAAAGTGTGAGATTAATTATAGTCCGTGAAATGTACCGTTTCATTTTAAACCAGGCATGTAACGTATTTTTTTTTAAACTTACATTAGATCTGACAAAGCAGAATGTTAGGCTTTCCTTCTGTTATTATTTGAACCTAGGATAAACACTTCCCTTTTTCAACTAGACTAATTTGTATTTTTCTTTTCGTCTGATGTTAAACAGTCAGTTTAATCACACGTAGTATATAAACCATTATGAATGCAGTCCTATTTTTTTTCTAGATAAATAGTTTATTCTGTGACCTGAATAACAGAATAACTGAGTTGGGAGGAATCCAGGAGGTCATCTAGTCCAACCCCCTGCTCAGGCAGGAAACCCTATACCATTTCAGACAAATGGCTGTCCAGTCTCTTCTTTAAAACTTCCAGTGTTGGAGCATTCACCGCTTCTGGAGGCAGGTTGTTCCACTGGTTAATTGTTCTCACTGTCAGGAAGTTTCTCCTTAGTTCCAGGTTGCTTCTCTCCTTGATGAGTTTCCATCCGTTGCTTCTTGTCCTGCCTTCAGGGGCTTTGGAGAATAGCTTGACTCCCTCTTCTTTGGGGCAACCCCTGAGATATTGGAAGGCCGATATCATGTCCCCCCTGGTCCTTCTCTTCATTAAACTAGACATCCCCAATTCCAGCCACCGTTCCTCGTATGTTTTAGCCTCCAGTCCCCTAATCATCTTTGTTGCTCTTCTCTGCACTCTTTCTAGAGTCTCAGCATCTTTTTTACAGCGCGGTGATTTTGTTCTGAGTGTATCCCTCTACAGTTAGCCAACGTTTTGACTACAGAATGTCTAAATATCCATGTCCTTTTCCTGTACTATGTATGACTTTGTTTTTCACTTTCTATTAGCTGTTGAGGGCAACTGATGAGCAAAGTCTCCCCCCCAAAATTAACCGTGGATCATTAAAACAATTGGCCGTCCTATTAGCCTCCACCTCCAAATAATCAAAGAATGATTATTAGCGTTCTTGCCTGCCACGCGTGACGAGTGGTGTGCCTTCAATCAGCCAAGGTTTCTTTTGGAAGAACTTTATTAATGCTTAATTGTATTTGGAATGAAAGGAAGACGAGAGGGTCAGGATGAAATGTCGCTGGGTTTGCTTCTCAGGTGGGTTTGATGAATTTTGCAGGACACACAATTTAAGAGATCAATCTGCTCCTTGCTCTCGTCCTGAGAAACATGTGAACTGTTTGGGACTCGGGGAGGGAGGCAGGCTGGGGTGGAAATGAAATGTCAAAGAATGGTTATTTCCCACTGGATATGTAATATTTAAATGTTTGTTAATTGTCTGAGCATTCAGAATTATGAAATGCTTAAATATTTATTCATTTACTGAGCACACAGAAATGACAAGATCGGAGAAGGGACGTTAAAGGTCTTCTAGTCCAGCCCAAGCAGGAGACCCTACAACAGTGGTTCTCAACCTGTGGGTCGGGACTCCATTTGGGGTCGAACGACCATTTCACGGGGGTCGCCAAACAATGCAGTCCGCCATTTCCCCCCCCCCCCTTTTTCCTTAGCTGTGCTACTCCCTTTTATTCTATTGGCTTTTGAAAGCCAATAGAATAGACTCTCTTGAATAGAGTCTAATTCTGTTGGCTTTCAAAAGCCAGTAGGAATTGTCCAGGTTGTCTCTGCCCTGCTGAGCCCGCCAAAAATCCCATTCTGCAAACGGTGCTGCACCAGTTGAGTAGTCCTCGACTTACGACCGGTTGAGTAGTCCTCGACTTACAACCGGTTGGGGGTCACGGGATTAAAAAGGTTGAGAACCACTGGCCTACACCATTCTGGACAAATGGCTGTCCAGTCTCTTCTTTAAAACTTCCAGTGTTGGAACATTCACAACTTCTGGAGGCAGGTTGTTCCACTGGTTAATTGTTCTCAGTTTCAGGAAATTTCTCCTTAGTTCCAGGTTGCTTCTCTCCTTGGCTAATTTCCATCCGTTGCTTCTTGTCCTGCCTTCAGGTGCTTTGGAGAATAGCTTGACCCCTTCTTCTTTGGGGCAGCCCCTCAAATATTGGAATGCTGCTATTATATCACCCCCTCCTCCTTCTCTTCATTAAACTTGACATACCCAATTCTTGCAACCGTTCTTTATACGTTTTATACTCCACCCTCCTAATCATCTTTGTTGCTCTTCTCTGCACTCTTTCTAAAGTCTCAACATCTCGGTTGGATCTCTCTTTAATGATCTTCAACTTGGTACTTCTTGTCCTGCCCTCAGGTGCCTTGGAGAAAAGATTGACCCCTTCTTCTGTGTGACAGCCCCAAATATTGGAAGGCTGCTGTCAGGTCACCCCTAGTCCTTCTCTTTCCTGGACTAGACGTACACGTTTCCCCCAACCATTCATCATATGCTTTAGCCTCCAGTCTCCTAATCATCTCGGTTACTCTTCTCTGCATGCTTCTCCTACTGCTGACAGCTCTGGCATACATACCTCTCATCTATTAATCAGGTCGAAAGAAAATAACAAAATTACAAATGCAAAAATCAAAGTTATTTTTAGCGTGTATAAACGTTAGAAGTATTCTATATTCGCCTTCATTCAGTAGAAATATCTATTCCATAAAGCAAACATGCCAAAGGAAGCTGCTTTAAAAGGTCTCAACCCACAACGCCTGCTTCCCTGTTTGAATAGCAACGGTTGAGAAGCTTCGTTGTTTTTTTTTTAAAAAAAATGTTTTATTGATTTTTAAAAATTACAATTTTTAGTGCTTAGTAAACATGTTGTCTGAGTTCACATAATAATAATAATAATAATAATAATAATAATAATAATAATAATAATAATAATAATAAAGTTGGAAGGGACCTTGGAAGTCATCTAGTCCAACCCTCTGCTCAGGCAGGAAACCCTAGACCATTTCAGACAAATGGCTGTCCAGTCTCTTCTTAAAAACTTCCAGTGTTGGAGCATTCACCGCTTCTGGAGGCAGGTGGTTCCACCGGTTAATTGTTCTAACTGTCAGGAAGTTTCTCCTTAGTTCTAGGTTGCTTCTCTCCTTGATTAGTTTCCACCCATTGCTTCTTGTCCTGCCCTCGGGCACTTTGGAGAATAGCTTGACTCCCTCTTCCTCGGGGCAGCCCCTGAGATACTGGAACGCGGCTATCATGTCCCCCCTCGTCCTTCTCTTCATTAGACTAGACATCCCCAATTCCAGCAACCGTTCTTCATACGTTTTAGCCTCCAGCCCCCTGATCATCTTTGTTGCTCTTCTCTGCACTCTTTCTAGAGTCTCAACGTCTTTTTTACATCGTGGCGACCAAAACTTAGATGCCGTGTTCCAAGTGTGGCCTTACCAAGGCATTATAAACTAGGATCCAACCTAGTTTATCAGATGGTAAAAAGAGACAGCAGGAAATTTGTACTTTCAGACTTGCAAGATTATAGCTGGCCGGGTTCAAAGGGTCAGGTCCACACGTGAAGGTCCAATTAAATTCATTTATTGCTGATCATACTTATGCACCGGCATTTTCTCAACTAATGGTTAGCAACTGCTTGGATTTAGATAAGGGTCAATGGAATTCAAGGGAGGTTGGGCTCCCGTCAACACCGACAGGGTGAGCTTTTAGAATATAAATTGAGAGCAAACCCCATTCCTTACTAGCACTGATGTTACCTAATTGGATAATGAAACGTCTGCAAAAAAATCCTCAAGCTCAGAGACCTCCTCTTTTCAACCAGGAGTTACAAATATTCTGTTTATCAATACTAAAGGTAAGCTAATACTGTCGCCTTGTATTATCCACATATGTTTCCTTCCCCAGATTTCAGTGTCATCAAATGTGGCTTGGTCTGCAACTTTTTATAATCTACACATTTCCTTTTGAGGTTTTTTTTTATTATGATGATGATGAAGGTTGACAGACTTCTGTTTCCTTAAAAGAGTTTAATAGCCGGTC